ATATTTGTCACTGTCATACCAGCCTTTGAAAGGAAAGGAAACAAATGGAATTCAGCGTATTTTTTACAGTACTATTACTTTGATCATTGAAACATCCTCCTATGCCAACAGCCAAGGGTCCTTTTATGGCAAGACTTTCCTCGTCAGCCCTACAGGTGCCAACCCTGACAAGTGGGAACCTGTCCTTAAAATTCCTGCTGTGATTCTTCTCGACCCACGCCTTGATTCAAACATTTTAGTCATGAGTTCAGTGCCTTTACTGCTTGATTTAAGAAAGGCATGAATTGTGAAATATATAATTAAAATTAAGGGCAAGGTAAAGTGACAAAAATTGTCACAACACCTGAAATAGGGGGCCTCAAAAAATCATTCACAACACCTTTAGTGCCTTTATTTTGGTGTCTAGACGTTCTTGAGATGATACTGAACAATAAAAAATGGATGAAAATCAAAAATAATGACTTTGGAATTTGTAACTTTGGAAAATATGAAGGAAATATACCATTCAGCACTGTGCAGCTACAGGGTAGACAACTCAACATGGGAAATCACAAAGTCTCACAGATATACCTGAATATATCTGAATATATACACTACAACCATCAAGACTTCAAATTTTGAAAACTATCTTTGTTTTAGCACACCATGTCCATATAATTAAGAGCGTGTCTACGAGAAAACCATGCAGAAGGTGCTAAGGCTTCAATCACAGATTTTGACCAAATTTGGTTTATAAGTTGGGATAGTCCCAAAACACATAAATGTGCAATATCAGATAAATCTTTCAATTCCTGACTGAGAAAATTGAAAAAATATTTTTCATATGGTGAAATTGCCCAAATCTGTCTGTTCTCAAATACCAACTTTGGCAAGTCCTTACACCTTTACTATACATAGCAGTGAGACCAAACTCACACAGTTTGTAGATGACTCACTGCTGTTACCACAAAATTAACTTTAGACGATTCTGGCGAACGAGATCTGTATACATACTGGATATCAAAGCCTGTCTAAATTCCCCATTTTTCGTCACCCAAAGTTTGATGCCCTATAGCTACTTCTTTCCTGGGGTGGGTTTAAAAAATTTATGCTCATGTGAACAAGCAACATCCCAACATTTGATACAAAAAATAAAAATGACCGGAATCAACTTGACAAAAACTATGTAAAGGAAACAATAACCCATGAAATTATCCTGTAATTTCCCTATTTTGGAGATAATTAACCGTAGTAGATAAAAAAAAACCTAACAATTTATTTTCCTTTTCATTCATATGGTGTTTACTACCAGCCCTAAAATACATTAGTATCTGTTTTATAAAAATGTATTGAAAAAAAAATACTTTCAAAGGCCTGTAATCGTTCATGGCTCATCTGGCGCAGACGGGAATTAGCTTCCGCAGTTGTCCAGTTGTGCTCAATCTTAACAAACATATACATTACTCTCAAATAGGCATTATCCACACAAAAATGAAAAATTCACCTAAAAGTGAGATTCAAATCACCAACCGCATGACTTCCCCCGATCCACCCTGTCACCAAGTTGCTTGTCCCAGGGCCCCAAGGTCCATGTTGTGGGCCCTGTTCAGGGGGTTTGCCTAGGGCCTCTCTTATTCTAATTCCGGCCCTGAAGGTGCACTTGACGGTGCCCGAGAGCCGTAGCTACCATACTACACTGTTCAACGTCGCCCACTTCGACGCAAGGCTTCGTTGCCGTAAATATTTAAGCTTCCACATTTCTCTATTGTAGAAATCAGTGGATGTGTCCCAAAATGAATAGTGGAAACATGCTCTGAAATTAAAGATTTTGTAGCCATTTTCGGTAACCTGTTGGAAAATGAAATCTTAAAGAGACAATACAACAAATATGTTAAAGGGACTATACGACAATACCAAATATACAATAAATACAAATACACACTTATAAACAGTACAACATGGTACAAATGATGGCTATGGGTATGATAAAAACGTATAAAAGTCAAAATTTTTATTTCTCTAATTAAATTTGCAAAAAATGTATCAGAAAAGCTTATTTTTAGCACTTTTCAATAAGCTGTATATTTTAAGTATGTTGCATTCCGCTCATTTTTTTTCACACCTATGGATACTATATCTTAGCACTTCAAAACCAACAAAAGAAATTCTACTTGCGACCATGAAAGAAAAAGTTACAGTGTATCTTTTTCTGTACTATAAAGACGATGTGAATATGGTACCCTAAAACAAGTCCACACAAAATCAGTATGTATTGATTTTTTTTTCAAATTAGTGCTTGGTTGGAAGTTGACTACCCGCTTTATCAGACAGGGTCAAAATTAGAAGGTTGCTATTGCACCATAGAATGCAATCGGTGCTTAAAAAGGGTGATAAATACACATGTGAAAACTGCATGTCACCTCTTGCACCTAGGGGGTGCCATACCATAAGTTTGATCATAAACTTCCGACCCCCATCTTAGCACCTTTTACGATTTTTGCATGGTCTTCTCGCAGATACCCTCTTAAACTTTTATTTTTCAAATATCCTCCATTTTTTTCAAGGGACTACTTTCAGACTTTTTGTATGGAGTACCATCATAAACATCATTTGGATTAAATGTTTCGAGAATGGTAAATACTGCATCACAATTTCCTTGAAACTGCTTTTGGTTTTCAGCAATTTTTTTATAATGAATACACATTGTTATCATTTGTATTACCTCTTAATTCACCCCTTGAAACTTTGTGCCAGGAAGCATAAAGATGTACTGACAATTAAAGGATGAACATTTTTACTTAGTTTTACAGTAAAATAATTTGTTAAAAATTTTATTCAATATTTATTCACACTCAACACATTGTTTAATCTTAGATTGTACACTAATAGTCCACTATTGAATATGAAAAGGTCCGGCTGAATGACAATCTAATTAAAATATAGATCTACATTTCGTTTGGTTTTTTATATTTTCGATGGCCCACACTACATGTAGATCTAACAAGTTATAGTGGGAGTTCACGTTCTATGACGTCAGGTACCAAGCAAGCAACATTTGACCCGATTACGTCAGTCATTCGATTAACCAATTAGCGACAGCCATGTATTTTTTATCTACTTTTGCTTTGTTTTGATTTCTATTGCCGCCAATGTCTACCCACAGTTCCGCGCAAAAAAGGTCAAATGCTTGTTTCGACAGACCATTTGATTGGCTGACCCCTCATTTCAAGCAGAACACGAGTTAAATAACAACGCTTCCAGATCAAAGTCTAGTAAAGACAAGTAAAATCGAAATTTTGAACTATAAAAACGAAACGAAATTGGATCTGTGTTTTAATCAGATTGGGCTGAATGATTGATTAGAAAATATGTGTTTCAAATGGTACTCCATAGAAATGAATTTGCCCCACAAAAATTATATCTAGGTAATAAATTCTATATCAGACCCTCAAAATGATTATTATTCTAACATAAATGAATAATAATCTATCCAAAAGTTAGAAACAAGCCTTTTTGCTAACATTTACCAACACTTGACAACGGCAGCCATGATAGCTTAGATTTTGACAGTTCTGTTGTCATCGATTTACAGAACGGTCAATATGAATAATTTTGATATTAAAAGATGTGACAGTTTAGCAAATGAAGCACAATAGTCTATAATATAACGATTTACCACCTGATGTAAGGATAACTGTGATAGTATTAGTCAAAGAGTATTTACTGCATTTTTATTTACCTTTCTGTGTCGAATTACCGCTCAAAGGAAGTGTTGCTCGCATCAATGAGTTCATGCCTGACTTATTGTTTTAATATTATCAAATCCCGTAAATGACAACTCATTTGTATTTTGATATGAATTAATCATATTCTGCAGTTGTTTCAATTAAAAAATGAAAAATTTGTTTTTAAAATTAACACTTTGCTCATTGATATTAGCATAAGGTCAAGGACATACCAGATATTCGGACACGAAGGCTACCTATGAAACATTGTTTGCATTTATACAATGGCGAAATGTGTTATTACTAAAGGGAATACAACATAATTGTATGTATGGTGATGTAAATGAAACCTTTGCATATATATACAATGTTCCGCTAAGCGTTGTCAGTTTAACGATTATTCGCATCACTTGTCTAAAGATATGAAGGGTCATTTTCAAGATTGAAAAAGAAAATGGCAGATCCAAACCACATGGTATCAAGACATGGAAATCTCACACTACAAAGAAATAGGGAAGCAACTCGAAAATCTAAGACTCGACTACTGTACAACACAGATCAGAGCATAAAAAGAGAGATAATAGCTGTCCCCAAGTTTTATCGTTTTGTCTGTAGGTGTAACCACGATTGGACAAGAAAGTGATTAAACTGTAATTTTCGTTTAAGTCATAAGACGGGAATGTACGAATTTAAGGGGTATTGACAGTGAAATAGTGTATTGTGAGTAATAGAGTTTATTTTGGACGTTTGTATCCAAGGGCCACTATTCTGTGTTGGGAAAAAATATCTTCAGCCTTGTTGGTGTTGAGACTACTATGCAACAAGATGGTGTCACTTTACCTTGCCCTTAAATTATCATTTTTCTCAATGCTACTGTTTTAAAACAGAATTAAGAAGTTACATATCCTTGGCTTTAATGTTAAGTCATTCAAATATGTTTAGTTAAATCATGATCAAATGTTGCCACAAAGCTATACAAGCAGCGATTCCAATTCAAAATTTTCATTGTCGATCATTTTTGAAAAAGCACGAAAACTTTGCAAATTAATTCATATTTCATGTTTTTTTATCTATTATTACAGCATATCGTGCGCCCTTTCATATAACATGTTCAGGGGCACTTTACAAAGTGACAATGTAATCATAAATAAACAACAAGATAATGGACATGTTAACGATTGTAAACAGAGTCAGTTAAAAGCCTGATTAAATAAATGTGTTTTAAGTTGTTTTTTTAAAAGAATATAGAGATGTGCAACATCATAAACTAAATGGTAGATTATTCCATAAAACAGGTGCTTGATAACTAAAAGAGACTAGTTGAACAGTTTGGGGCTTTAAAAGTAGTTTATCTGATGTATGTAATGTTCGGCCAGGTGTATAAAGTTCTAAAAGATCTGAGAGGTAAACAGGAGCTAAATTATTCAAACATTTAAAAGTAAGTAATAAAATCTTAAAATCAATTCAATATTTAACAGGTAACCAGTGTAAATTATATAAAACAGGAGTTATGTGGTCACATTTCTTAGTTAAAGTAACAAGTCTAGCTGCAGTATTCTGTACTTTTTGTAATTTATCTATAAGCTTTAAAGGTAAACCAACCAAAAGTGAATTAAAGTTATCTAATCGAGAAGTGACCAGAGAATCAACAAGTGACTTAGTTGCCTCTACAGTTACACATTTACGTATTTTACCTATATTTGTGATATTAAAATAGCACAATTTACAAATATTCTTTACTTGAGCTCCCATAAGCATAAAACTATCAAAGATTGCGCCAATATTAAGAGCAGAATAAGATGAAAATATATCATGTGCAAATTTACTTAATTGATGCCTTGAGAATAACAAATATTCGGTTTTATCATCATTCAATTTTAGAAAGTTCTTTGACATCCATTTTCTAATTTCACTAATACAGTTCTCAAGTTGCAATTTTGATAAATTGAAAAAAGATGGACAATTAGGTGTAAATGAAATATATAATTGAGTATCATCAGTGTACAAATGAAAGCTGAGACCATATTTTCTGACAATATCACCTAATGGTGAACCCCAGATGACAAAACAGATTCAGACGACGATTTACAATTAACTAAAATACACTGTTTTCTACCCACAAGATAGCTTTCTAAAAGATTTAATGCAGAGCCACAAATACTGAATTTAAATTGAAGTCTACGTAGAAGAATGGAAGGGTCCACTGTGTTGAAAGCAGCAGATAAATCTAATAAAATTAAAAATGTACATTTTCTATTAACAATTTCCATTAAAATATCATTTGAAACCCAGGTTAAAGCTGTTTCGGTACTGTGAAATTGTTTATAAGCACTTTGAAATGGTTCATACAAACAGTTATCATCTAGATTGACCTTTATCTGAGAAGCAATACATTTCTCTAATATTTTAGAAATAAAACTTAAGTTAGAGACAGGTCTGTAATATTTTAGAAATAAAACTTAAGTTAGAAACAGGTCTGTAATTTTTAAAAACATTAGGATCCGTGGGTCTATTATATTGTGTTGTTTTTGCTTAATCTTTTACTTCTTAATGTTATTATTTAATTTTTGTAAATGGCTTCATCATGAACTCTTATATATCAAACCCAAGTTTTCTAAATGTCATTGTGCTTGATAACGATAAGAGGATACTTGTCGAAACGTTGTGCTTTTAGAATAAAACCAGTGATTGTTTCCCATAAAAATTGTGTTCTGTTATTAGGATCCAGTGTAGACTTTTTAATTAAAGAAGTAACATAAGCTTGTTTGAAAACCTTGGACATAGTAGAGGATGATATACAAGAATTAATAATATTGGTAAAAACTGGTAGGGTATCATGAATTCGGGTCCATGTCAAAACCCCTCTGGTCAAAACCCGCTAGTTCAAAACCCCCTTGGTCAAAACCCCCTAGGTCATAACCCCCTTGGACTTAAATTAAAAACAGACAAAACCCCCCTTTTTTATTTATTTATTTTTTTATTAATTTATTTCCTTTATTTATTATTATTTAAAAATAAATATCTGAAAAATAAAATATTATTATTTAAAAAAAAAAATATGATAACCAACTAAGACAATTGACCACACAATTAACATAACATAATCTGCTTTTTACTAGGAATAACATAGCCTCAGTTATTGTAATCATTCAAGTGAAAAGCAATTATCTGATCAATCTCAACTGAAGTCATGGCGCTACAATTTAAAATCTCCTATACCAAACCCTATTCCCAGCAGAACTCTGGAACGTTCATCTGACAACACTTGGTGGTGGGTCTCGCACTAACAATCTATGCGAGTCTTGGAACAGGGCGTTCAGTTCCCTGCTGGGAATATCAGACCCCACAATCTGGCGGGCTCTCGAACATCTCCATCTGGATCACAGCAATATCAAGACTGCACTCCTGCAATACTCACGCGGACAACCACCAAAAAACAACAGGAGATCCACAAGAAAGACTTTACAACTTGTGTGCAAACCATAAAAGGTATTGGGCACACCATCCAATGGAAATAATTTCACCCATATAATTGCAAATAAAATATAAAAATAATCGATTTTGTTGTGTACTTCACTTCACAAACCACAAAAACATAATTTTGAAATGATTTTAATATTATATAATATAAAAATGGGGGGGTTTGACCAGAGGGGGTTCTGACTTAGGGGGGTTTTGACCGGAGGGGGTTTTGACCGTATCCCCATGAATTCACATGGCAGCATGGTGTACACAAAAAATTATATATTGGACTAAGAAATAAAATATTTGTAGGGTTTATTATAATTATTTATTAATGAAATATTCCCTTTTGGCTATCTTAATAGCTTTCCTCATCAAATTTCTTACTTGGTTCAAGACAAATAAAAGAGCTAAATTGGCCGTAGAAAAATCATTCCATTAGCTCACAATTATTACCACATGCTCTATAGAAAACACACTGACCTTTAAAATTTTGAGTCGTAATACAATAAATTCGAAATGGAGATAAATATATAATTAACTACGGCATATTTCTCACATTTTTCGCTCAGCTCTTATGGCATTCCGGACTGCAGAATTGTGATGTAAATCCTAATATTGAATAACTAATTCGAATGACAGACTAATTTCAAAGCTAGCGAAATCAGCGCCGCCTAGACGTGCATAATAAGATTAAACATATACACTACATTTGTACGAGACGTGAATTATCAATATTATTATAAAAAAGCACTGGAATACATAATTTTCTTATTTTTCAGTATGCAAGTTAACTCATCTCTGGCTTTTATTCATATAATTCCCACGGCATAATTCCATAATAGCGCTGTATACATTTTCTAGATGTGCATAATAAGATTAAACATATACACTACATTTGTACGAGACATGAATTATCAATATTATTATAAAATAGCACTGGAATACATAATTTTCTTATTTTTCAGTATGCAACTTAACTCATCTCTGGCTTTTATTTATATAATTCCCACGGCATAATTCCCATAATAGCGCTGTATACATTTTCTAATGCATTTTTCTTCCAACACGTTGAGGATTTTCATAATTTATATGCTATTTTTATTTAATAGGATAGTTGGTTGGATTCAAAGAGCAGTGCTTCATATCTGATTGCCCTTTTTTTTGAATATCATAATAATCTTGTTTACACCTTGTGTGACCGTAATAGAGGTATAGCAGCTTTGTTCTGGAAAATTCTTATGACATGTGGATAATACATGGGTACTCAAATAGAGAATGACTAACAATGGACCGCTTCTCATCATTGATAAGATTCCCACATAACAATTAACTTTTATTGTTCTACCACTAGACATTCATCATTAATTACCAACACGTATAATCCTCTGTTGACAACTATGTATACAACTCTATAACACAATCGTGAGATTAAGTACGTGGCTTCTATATTCTGGTGGAGGTCGATAGTAGCAATGTTTGAAAATTGAGTTTTGAAAATATGTTATTTTGCCGATGTGCATAATGACCGATGGGTCAGATTTAGTTTCAGTCATTTACCATAGCCCTCAGTGATGAACGGCATATACAAGTACGCCCAATATGGAACCCATGTATACAAGCTCTTCATAACTTGCAAGAAAGTATTACTCCATTTAGTTCTGGAGTTATTATTCTACAGTTCTTTATAGATAATTATATTGTGATCAGCCATGTCAATACAGAACATCTTTTACTTCATATTATCTTTGGCTTCATGTTTAAGATATGCATAACAGAAAAATAATACTTAACTTCTTCTCTTGTAGTTTCAAATAACTTAACTCCAAGAAGGAAAAACATTTCCAATTGTTAAAGTCAACATTCTAATGGGATTAAATCTACTTTCTTTAAAAGTTACATGTATCAAAATTCTAGAAATAGTATGAACTAAGGTAAAACAAAAAAAAATAATTGTGGACTGTTTTATTTTTCTTCTTTTCTTAGACTTTATTTATCGACATCTCATAATTTGTGTTCACACTGCCAAAGAAGTTTTGATAAATAATATAATGTTGTATGCTACAGATTTCTTTATGCCGTTATGCTTTGGGGATATATGAAAATTTGTTGGAATTGGCTCGACCATTTCATTGGTGTATGGAAGCTACAGTGAGAAAGAAATTTCATAGCATCTCCCGGTAGCAAAGTGTAATCATGCTTGTGTTCACATTGAATTATTTTTCAGTAATAATCTTATAATTTCTCAAAACCTTTGTTCACAGTCAGAAAATGGATTATTTGCCAAACTATTTTTCACTGTTAACATAACTCAATGATATCTCATGATTCTCTAATCTGTCACAAACTTGACTATGAAAGACATTTTACATACTTAAAAAATATTCATTCACTCTGTACATGTAGTTCATATTGTATGTAGCATGCACATCAAAATTAAAATATTCATCAATTCATCTTTATTCATAAATAGATATTGTAAACAACTGTATTTGTGTGAAATTATAAGTAATTCACTGTTATTGTTCTATTCTACATGTCAAATTCACAACCCTTTAAATTTAACTAAAGCAATTCTAGTATGAACAATAGTTTAATTAAACAATGTTATTCATATCACTAGGGAAAAAAACTTCATGGTTCTCAGACAGAAATTATACAGAAGAGATTATATTGACATCACAGGTTTTTATTGCAATACTAGTTATTAAAGTTTGAGTGAAATAAAAGCTGCTAGACAGAAATACTAAACCTATCCATATCTATTTGAGATTATATATTGAAAAGTTTTTATTAAGTAAGTATGTCTGAGATATTAGGTTTGTGGTATAATGGTTACATATAACAAAAGTTTAATTTGAGTTTGTCTGAATTATTTTCTCAATTAATTATTTGAAAATAAATATGTTTATAATCAACAGGTAAGTATAGAGTTACAGTAGGTATATATATATATAGATAAAGTAATGAATCTAG